AAGCAGGTAAGATCCTCTTTCAAAAGCAAGAAAAAGGTAAGTACCACCAGAACGATGGAACTGGTCCATATGGATCTTTGTGGACCAATGAGAACTCTAAGCAGAGGTGGTAAGAGATATGTTATGGTGCTTGTTGATGATTACTCTAGGTTTACTTGGACATTGTTTTTAACATTTAAAGATGAAGCATTTGATATGTTTACTTCTTTTGTTAGAAAAACTCAGAAACAACTAGGTAATCAACTTGCATCAATTAGGTCTGATCATGGAACTGAATTTAAAAATGCTAAGTTTGCTGAATTTTGTAATGAGCATGGCATAAATCATAATTTTTCTGCTCCTAGGACTCCACAACAAAATGGAGTAGTTTAAACAAAGTATAGGACATTAGAGGAAATGGCTAGGACTATGCTACTTGCTAGTAAATTCCCTCATAGCTTCTCGACAGAGGCTATGAATACTGCATACTACATCATAAATAGTTGCATGACTTGACCTCTTGTTAAGAAGATTCCTTATGAGTCACTTAAAGGGAGAAAGCTAAATATATCCCATCTTAGGGCATTTAGATGCAAGTGCTTTGTGCACAATAATGGCAAAGACTCCCTAGGTAAATATGATCCCAACAGTGATGAGGGAGTATTCTTGGGATATTCTTCATATAGTAAAGCTTATAAAATATACAGTAAAAGAACTATGTGTGTAAAAAATATATATATGTTATTTTTGTAAAACTAACATTCTTTCTGAGAGACAGGAACAAGATAATGAAGAGATTGGGATGATAAGAAATTCAAATGGTGAAACCACAGTCCAGCCCGAAGATGCATCACAGGAAGGAACAGGTGATGGAACAGGTCCTTCCACCCAGGGCAACATGACATGGGGAACTGACTAGAGAGGAACTGATCCTCAAACCTCGAAGGAACCTGTCCATGAACCTATTCCTCAGAAACAAAACCAGGAAGGAAAATCCAAAGAAGTCCCACTTGACTGCTGTCAAGAGAATATTGAGATACTTGAAAGGCACCACTGACCTTTGCCTTTGGTATCCAAAAGGTAGTAATTTTAACCTAGTGGGATATGCTAACGCTGATTATGCAGGGTTCCTTGTGGATAGGAAGAGCACCTCAGGTATGGCACACTTTCGTAGTTCATGTCTTGTGTCATGGGCTACCAAAAAGCAAAATTCAATGGCCTTATCTACTGCTGAAGCGGAGTATGTTGTTGCTGCTTTATGTTGTGCTCAATTGTTGTGGATCAAACAACCATTATTGAACTTTGGAATTGATGTTGGTTGCATCCCTATTTTTTGTGATAACACTAGTGCTATTAGTATGACAAAGAACTCGGTTCATCATACGAGAACTAAGCACATAGATGTTAGGCACCATTTTTGAGGGACAACTATGAGAAAGGCTTGATCACTGTAGAGTTTTGTGCTACTGACAAGTAAATTGTTGTCATCTTCACAAAAGCCTTAAGTAGAGATCACTTTGGGAGGAACAGGTTGGAATTAGGGATGATTAAGATCACCTAAAAGGACCAGTTCAAGGTTAAACGAAAAAATGAAAAAATTGAAAAAAAAAATTGGTTAGAAAGTCTGTAAATTGTGTATAATTAGATTAAATCTTGCTCAGTCTCATACTTTCCATAGTATACTCTTGTGTCATGTGTTAAAATGTCTCATTAATCTCTAATGATATTTTCTCTATTTTGGCAAATTTAGACTCACACAAGAGAATTATCAGTGAAGAACCTAGTTCATCAAGATAACACGGTATGTTTTCTACACTCTACATAATTTGAAATAACTATATTTGGATCATGAGCAGAGTCCTACCAAATTCCAAACTCCTTTTGGACTTATCCTTCACAAGTGAACCAGTCCCGTTCAAGAGAGTCCCAACCGAATGGAAATACCTAGATTCTAGGGATACACTCCAACGTCTCTTCAAAACTGAATTTCAGTTTGATTAAACTTCTAAGAGTCTGAAAAGCTATAGTTACCCCATCAATTATTCCCATGTATATTGATCAGCTTTAGTGTATTCCTTACTTTATCTCTCTCAAGCCGTAAAAACTCTCATTCTTCTTTTATCTTCCAAACACAATCTAATTCTCTTCTCTTCCATACCCTAGCCCAGATATGTCAAACACCTCTGAAAATCCTTCATCACCACCACAGGAAACCACTTCCACACCTTCTACCACTGCTTCAACCACACCAATCTCTAAGAAAAGTAGAGTAAAGATGATGGCTCGTAAGATTGTCGCTGAAGGAGAGCAGATCAAGAAAATAAACAAGCAATTGAAAGCAGGTAGGGAAGAAGAATCCTAGAAATCTGAAGATTCATTTCTGTCTGCTACTAAGGGGGAAGAAAGTAGGTCTTCCGAAACTGAACAAGTATCTTCTGATTCTAAAGTTACTCCTGAGAGAATTTCTGAAAGTTGCTGACTAAATTTGGAGAATAGATTTGTACTGGTAGGATCTATAGCAGGTGTTGAGACTACAGAATCTGGAGAAGTTGGTGGTAAAAATAAAGAAACGAAAAAGAGAGCAAGGGTGCTAGGACTACTGTGAGGGGAAAGGGTACAAGAATGGTTGATTCTTCACCCATTCCTGTTGGTCTAACAAAAGAAACTGGTGCAATGGTTGTTTGGGGAGAGGAATTTACTGAAATAAAAGAGAGTGTGAGCAAAACAGGGGGGAGTAGGTCTGGCGAAGCTGCTGAGGGGTTGGTTCAACTTGGGAAAAATATAGATGAACCTGTTCCATCTGAACTGGAAACCCTCGCGGATCTACTGATAGGGTTATCAATGGCACCAAAACTCATGTCATTCCCTATGGTTTCATTCTCACAACTGTGCTTGCACATTTCAAGGTACCTATGAAGAAGTAGGAGGTTAGTACAAGCAAGGATCAGTTTGGGGTTAATAATCTGCTTGCTTGCGATTATGAAGTCAATGCCATTCCTAATGAACCTGGTTCATCTAAAAAAGACACCTATCAATAGCAAAGTCAGAGTCTGGTACATGATGTGAGGCAAAGGATGTTGAGATGGCAAGGCTGAAGACACGATTGGTTGAGGTAGAATCTGAGAGAGATGTTCTCAGAACTGAATTTGCAAGGGAAAATGAGAAGAATGATGGAATTCTTCAAGACATGCTGAAACTTCTCCAAACAAATAACCCAGCCCCTACCTCTTCCAAGCCTTAAAATCCTAGCCTAGTGTAGATCAAACAGTGACCCAGTTCGGGATTTTTGTTGTTTTTGCTCATGTTTCCAAATATTTTTATTTCTTCTTATGCTCTGTGGTAGAATCTTATCAATCATCAATGAAATTCACTATCTTTTGCTCTAAACTGTTTGTTTATATTTCTTTGATGGTTAAAATTCTTAGCTTGATCATATGATGATTAATTCATGATTGCATTTGAAGTAGCCCCAGTGGCCAGGAGTAAGTTTTAAATCTGGTTATCTCACATTTTATGCAACTTTTCGATGATGCCAAAAGAGGGAAAAGGTTGTGCTTTACACTTTGAACAGTGATGTTTATAACCTAATGTACCTGGTCCTTGATGATAGGTGATAAAAAGGAAAAATGTTTCTAAATTATGTTGATGTTGAGCTAAGTTGAAACAGGGCCTAAGCTTATAAAAAGCACAGAGTTTGTCATCAATCAAAAAGGGGAAATTTGTTGGCCCAAGTGAAGGTTAGTTTTGAAGATTGACAAAGGAAGCTCAGGCATGAACCAGGTCCATCCCTCAGGTGCAAAAAAACGGGCAGATTCGAGCATGTGGGATGCACGTGAAGGAGATAAGCTTAACTTGGTGTATTTAGTATCTCCTGATCGAAAAGGTTGCATAATTGATAAGGAGAAGGACTCCTTACTCAAAGAGAAACATTATCCAAGATAGGAAGGAGTTAGAAGTTGAGATCAACTAGAACTCTTCCACCAAGGAAGAGTTGCATCAGAACTCTATTTATTTCTTCATCTACTAACTCTATAAATTGCAGGATGTTCTCACATTACACGTGTTGCACAAAAACGCAGAAGTTAAACGTGAATTGAGAGCAGAATAGCAAGGCTTTTTGCAAGCAGTTCGTGTGTGATTCAAGTGTGCAAACCTGAAGCTACATGAACCAGATTGAAGAACCAGCTCCATATAGAGTTTTATGTGTCTTTCTTTATTTCTAGTTCAATTGTAGTAGGTGTTTTATATTGTACCTTTCAGCTTTATCTAGAGGCAATTGTAATAGGTACTCAGAGTATTCAAGTTAGAGTTAACTTGAAGTTGTCGCAACAGTTAGAAGTTGTGTGCTACAACGTGATTAGAGTTAATCCTTAGGTTTACAAAGAGTTTTGTAAATGCTGTTTTGGCTCAGTTATTTAGTGAAGTGTTGGGGAAAATCCTACTGAGTAGTAGGTCATGGTTTTTTCACCTTTTGAGCCGGGTGTTTTCCACGTAAAAATACTTGTGTTCTTAACTTTCTACATTTATTATTCTGCAACAGTAGCAGAAGGGACACGTAGAAGAACCAGATCCTTCCATAATTAATTTAAGCGAAAAA